TTAGTGTAGGTGGTTACACGCTTCTTAGAATGTTCGCGAAGGTAAATCACTGCTATAGTAATGATCTTCAGCGATTCCGGTAAGCATTGTTGGAAATACTATGTTATAACTGTCTAGTGTTATCCTAACTCTTTTATAGATGGTGTAGAAGATATTGAGTTTCTAGTTAAAGCTGCTATTATCTGTCCTATTATATCTCTGTTTCTTAGTATAAATCTTTGACATAGAGTTAATCTCTTTAGTGAAATCAGTCTTCAACTTCTTGGTTTCAAAGATAAACAGGCTAGTCTCTGGAGAAAACTGATTGGGAACGCCTAGAGTATCCTCTAGCAAGGATTTGTCGCTTCCTTGGTCAGGATGACTACTTCTAGGGGCGGACGTATTGATTTTTGGTGTAATCAGGCGGTCCGCTTATAGGGGCAGAGTGCCTTATAAAGGCTGCTTCAATCTAGTGCAGGTCGGGTTAAGGCGGTGTCTTAGTGCTCCAGTAATCATTGGCATCTTAAATTCCGTGAAGAAGCTTTCAATATCTTCGTCTGTCTATTCGTGGAACTCCTCTTGTTAGGCTACTATGGATAGTAGGGTGTAAATTGCTATTCCTCGACCAAATCGTGGAACAAATACTCTATGCTGAAGTAGATTCGTCCATAATACTGTTCGTCTTAGAGGTGCGACTTGCTTAAAGTGTTCTGGTTCCCAGTTTTCGAAAAGGTCGCAGTATGTTGCCCATAGGTTGTAATCTGATGTTCTGTCATCGAAATACATGTTCTTTTCAACGTAGTCATTTATCTCTCGCTTTATGGCTGTCGCTAAATCGATTTCCTAATCATAGTCATCGTTGATTGATTGAGCTGATTCAGCGGCTGAAGGTGGTGCAGACATAGTGTAAAGCAGTGTGGGTTTTTCAGAAATGTTAAGATGGTGTAGCAGTATATAAGATAGGTCATTTTTGGGTTTCCTGGATTTTGAATATAGGGATATGTAAGGTTAGAGGGCGAGGATGAGGGGATTTGAGCGGTCAAGGATATGCAAGTAAGAGAAATAGGATGAGGGGATTTAGGCGGTCAGGGATATGCAAGTATGAGAAAAATGAAGGGATTTGAAAGGAATGGAGGAAAATGAGAGGGAAGTATGGTAGTGTTTTTCAGTGTTTTTCAGTGTTTTTGGACATTCTTCATAGACCTTGGGGCTTCTATGAAGTAGGTTCTTAGCAAGATGGTGTAATTCTCGGCGATCGTTCAAGCCTCGAATTATCACGATCTTCTCCTTCGACTGAGATATGGCAAGGACTTAGCGAATCTGGAAAAACAGCTTTTGAAGACTGTTCAACGCGCTCGAGCTTCGTAGATGCGTATTTCCTGATCTGTACGTCTACTGATCAGTGTCGGTTGACTAGGTTATTACCGAAGCAGACAGCTATTGATATCGTTTCTGTATATATATAATAGGTATATGCATATTGGGTAAAAGTGAAGTGTCATTCTAAAATGCTCAGGTGAAAGAAGATATAGTAGCTGCCATGCCAAGATCACATGATCTTGGTATGTCAGCTGATATTCGTTCCAACAATAGCATAGTATGTATGGTGGTCAACTAACCGATGCTTTTCGGTCAATACCGATGCAAACTATGAATGGACATACACCCAAGAGTAGAGGTCGGCACGGTTTTACGGATATCCGTATCCGTAACCGTAACCGTAGAAATTCTACGGTTACGGATACGAATAAAATCTCTACGGTTACGGTTACGAATAAATGCCCTCTATCCGTACGGATATCCGTAATATCCGTAGCTTATATCACGTGTCTAGAACCACATGCAGTTCTAATATATATTTCCAAGTCTATAGAGTTATAAATCTCATGTAATTCTCAAGTAAAAGAAATTTCAATTAGGAATCAATATTATATACATCTCTTAACAAAACTAACTCTCTCATGGTCTTACTGTTCAGAGATTGTCGACGAACACCCAGGATATCCCTTACAGAACTGAAAAGTCTTTCAACTAAAACCTCAGCTGCTGGAATACCAAGGTAGTCCCTTGCAACTGCTGCCATCCTGGGGTATTGATCCTTATGAGCGTTCCACCATGAAAGCAGCCACTTAGAGTCATCTTGGTCTTCTATTAATCCTTCTACTTGAATAGGAGGCTCATCAAAATAGCGATCAATATCAGAAGCCCGAGATACTTCTTGAGAATGTACTTTTTGTAGAAGACGAGCTCTCATACCTGGTCGAGCAGGAGGATCCATAGTTCTAGAAGTAGAACTAGAGATGGAGGTAGCCAAAGGGGGATATTTCTTATGAAGAAAGACCTTAATGCTCTGAATGATTCCTTGGATAACCCCATCTTCAAGCTCTTGTTCTAAAAGAGCAAATTTGACACGTGGATCAAGAGCAAGAGCTATATAATAGATATCTTGCATATCCATAAGATCATAGTATTTCCTATACTTTTGCATTCCAACCAAGACAGCAGAAGAGATATCAGGACTAAGCCCTGTAAAGTCGCCTTCAAAAGAAGCTGCTTCTATAAGGAGGTCATGCAATTCATAGTAAATAGGAATTACTAGACTTATATGAGGTTGCCGCTGAGAGATAAGTTGGGTAAACTCATAGAATCTTGAAAGAACCATGGCAAGATCACGAAGATTAGACCAATCATCATTTGAAAATGGTATCAGCTGATTCTGAACATTATTCCAATGTTTAATCTGCTCTTGAGCAAGGATAGCATCTTGAATCATAAGATATGTCGAGTTCCAACGTGTCTCGATATCATACCTAGAACTATAAGTATATATAAGAAAGAGAGAAAGGAATCTTGCTTACCGAACGAGCTTATCAGGTAATCCATGCGTCTGACAAATGATTTGCCACTGCTGCTGTCTTTGAGGACTTCCAGATACCTAAAGGGCTAAGATTCGTACACGAGCTAGCGCAGAATGCCCAGCTGGTAGGCTCTTATGGTCCTTTAGGATACCACAGGCATCTAAAGAAGATTGATAATCGCCAGATTTCAACTCTGATAGAATCTTTTGGACAATGAGATTCAGAATATACGCCAGGCATCTAATATAGCTATCAAGACCTATCTTAAGTGAGTTTAGATAATTAAAGAGAGAGAGAGAGAGAGAGAGAGAGAGAGAGAGAGAGATGAAGAGAATCTTACCTTGAAACTATAGTGTAGCTAGATTTAACCCTTGAAGATTGAAGTAGAGCTCTTTAATTAGGGCACTATTATTTGTTGCATTATCAGCAGTAATAGTAAGTAGCTTAGACTCAAGTTGTAGCTCCTGAAGAGATATTTGAAGCTGGCTTGCCATATTCTCTCCAGTATGTGCTCTAATAAGCTCTATAAAATCAAGAATCCTCTCACGGTACTCAAAATCAGGGGTTATCCAATGTCCAATAACCCCTAAAATAGCTTTTTGATTCTTGGATGTCCATATATCTAAAGAAAAAGCAATTGTTGAACATGTTTCCGCGAGCTCACTGACCAAATAGGCACGATACTGAGTAAACTCCATATTGATTCGTCGAGAGACTGTGCGAGCAGACGTAAAAGGTAGAGGGGTATTTGGTAATTCCTAGAATAATTAAAGTTAGTAAGAGAGAGAGAGAGAGAGAGAGAGAGAGAGAGAGAGAGAGAGAGAGAGAGAGAGAGCTTACCCTGAAGATTTGCTGGAATGCTGTAGACTGAAGAGCAGTGAAAGGGATATTCTCCAAGACTATCCATCGAATCAAATTCTCCTCTAATGCCTCTAACATAGATTGACTAGTTTTTGTCCGAAACATAGAAACAATAGATGCTTGCTGAGTTGCTGATGATATCATTGATCCATGTTTTTTCATCAGATGCGTTTTCATATTAGAAGTTGATGTATCTCTCTGGGAATCCAAGATCTTCCATTCTCCACAATGAATACATACAATCTCTCGGTCCTGTAACGGCCCTTTACCCTGTTTAGGATGCCAGAACTTCCCTGGAAGATTGCGGATTGTAAATTAACTCCAAAGGGCTTGGTTTTTGGATTTTGGTGTCTTGGGCAAAGAAGAGTCTAAAGGAGTAGACACTATAGAAGAGGTTGTTTCAGGGATTTGACTCGCTGAATCATTCGGAGAGATAGATTCATCTTCATCTTCATCTTCATCTAATGGGGAGTGATAACGTGGTTGCTTTTTGATACGATCACTAGGATCAGCTTCCTCATCACTACCATCATTTAGAACAAGGTAATCCTGTCGTGGAGCGCGTTTAGGGCGTGGTAGGAGACTCATTCTATCAATGAATGGATAACTATTTAGATATCAAATTAGGGACTTCGGATGATAAGTTTCTATCGTAGTATCGTATGATTTATTTAGGCGGTGGCATAATATCACGGATATCCGTAATCCGTATCCGTAACCGTAGAATTTCTACGGTTACGGTTACGGATAGAAGCTCTCGACTACGGTTACGGATACGAATAATCCAAAATCTTACGGATATGTATCCGTGCCGACCTCTATGGGACTGAATAGCGAATTCGTGCGAGCAAATCAAAACAGAGTAGTCAAAATATGTGTGTGTCCAGCAATGATCTGGCGGTAATGCCAGTTACAGAATTTGACTAATAATGCACTAAACTAAACTAAACTTGGAATCGGTCCTTTGACAAGCTCTTTTAGCATCGGCGACTTAGGGGCTGGCTTCAGGGTCCTCATTCTACGCTAGGTGGGAATCAGCTGATAGAAGGATCAAATTTCTGGATACCGGAGAATGGGAATTTTTTCATTTGATCCCGAATACTCCCCGAACTCTTTGAATCTTCTAGCGGGCGTTACAGCAATTGTCTGCGTGAAAGATATTCTGAACCAATTGGACTTACCCTGTTACATACCAAAACAATGATAAAAGGTCGATAGCCATCCTCTTAGAGTAAATTTTGCGCTTTTTCATATATCAGTCAGAGACCATTTTAACTCAACGTGAATCAACCTCAAAGTAACATGGTAAACAGCAGCGAAGCTAAGCTTTCGGAAGAGAAGGTAGAAGATGTCGGGAGCAGATATTTTCTGCCCCGAAACATGGAGGAAGCAAAGCGAATGCAAAACCAGCATGAATGGCTGAAAGGAGGTGCCAATGGCTTAGTCTTAGCGCCGATTGATTTAGGTCGTTCAAGAATGCGAGTTCTCGACGCCGCTACTGCAGATGGTACGAGACTGGTTTTCAGATTTGTCACTTGCTATGCTAATCTTCTCTAGGCTACTGGATGCAGGATGCCAAACCTATCTTCCCCAAAGATACAGAGTTTGTTGGTTTTGACAATGCGTAAGTTCTAAATTATGTACTACGGTACAGTAATGTCGCCTAAGCTAACGATTTGCCTTTAGTCCCGAAGGATATCCCTCTCTCAACAGCATTCCTCCACTACAGATAGTGAAGCAAAACTTGGTAGAGGAGTTCCCTGCAGCGTGGAAAAACACCTTCGACTTCGTTCACCAGCGGTTCGTCATTCCTTTATTCAAGACAGAAGAGGTTCCACTGGTACTTTGCAACTTGATTGGGTGCTTGAAGCAGGGAGGTTGGATCCAGCTTGTTGAAATGGACTTCCAGACCCCAGTGTCTAAACATATCGAGTCATTGCCAGCTGTCCAGGCAATCCACAAGTTGACTAGCACAGTGGTCTCAGACCCACTTGCTTCAACAAAGCTGGCGAGTCGGTTGAAGGACGAAGGACTCATTAATGTAGGATACAAGGCAATTGACATGGTTGCTGGCTCGTCGCATCCTGATCCCGAACTGGGCAAGCGAGGACAGGAAAATATGTTGTCGGTTCTTGGATTTTTCCAATCAGTGGCCAGGTATGATCAAATCAGGGAAGACAGGGAAGGAATTTACTAACGAAACCTAGACCTGAGATGATTGAGATGACGGAAGAAGAATGGAAGACTTTGCCCCAGCGCTTTTCTGAGGAAATGAAGAACCACCATGTTGCCCTGAGGGTTTACTTTATATGGGGTCAGAAGCCAGAGTGATGGGAAATGAGCCCAAGAAACCCGAGACAGATGATATGAGAGGGCTTACTTTTATATAAATTCCCAGTAAACGGGGATAAATATGAGTACGATCAATCAAAGCTCTTATAATTGACTAAAAAGGATCTGTATTTACTTAAAGTAAGAATCGTGCAGAAGAAAACCTAGTCAACATGTATAATTTGCTACTCTTAAGCCTTCTCATAGCTTTAATCTTCTCCCTCAGAATACCATTTCAAATTAAGCACATGGGTATGTGAATTGTTTAAAACAACAACCTCAGCGCAAATTTAATTTTTGAAATTTCTCAAGAACCAGACCAGTTGACGACTAGCTCGCAACGGCAAGTTAAATCTAACTCTCTGCGCTATATTTTGATCCTAGTTGCCAGCACATATGGCCATGGAATCGATGGTGCGCGTGTCTAAGGGAGTTGGGGTCGTTCCGGCGGCCGCAGCCAACCTGTATTTAACGCGTCCGATGAACAGAGAACGCGTAAGAAACACTAATCAAGAGGCGCACGCCCTGCTGAAGGACATCAGCAGTGGACAGAACTTCAATCCCAAGGTGACGAGCTTCCTCAAGAGTGTGGAAGAGCTCACCAAGGACCTCCTCTCAACCCCCATGAATGACTGGCAGGACGAGTTGGGGGCGCTGCGACGAGACATCCAGGGCATCAAGGCAGCTATAGAGCAGCCTTCGAAGCAGATAGTGGAATCGTTCGCAAAAATGGCAGCCAAGGCGCCAGCGCCGGCCCATTTCCTGTCCTCCCAGTCCTTAGGCTCTGAGCCTGCACGACCAATGGAGGTTGCACGTGATCGCGAGGTGGTCGTCTGTCTTGGCGACCATGCGTAAAACAGCATCTTTAGGCGGTTGACGCCAGCTGAGCTCATAAAGAGGGCAAATCAGGCCAGGGCCAAGGCGGCAACGAACTCGAGAGACCCCGTTTCCGCCCTAGCTGCTGTCATGATCCTAGCATCGCGCCAGTTAAGATTGGGCGATCTCCGCTTCACGATGCGGAATGCAAAGGAGGCTAAGATCATGAGAATATATAGAGACAAGTGGGCTAAGGGTCTCTATAAGACAGCGTTTGTTCATCTCCTAACATAGGGCATCATCGTGCATGATGTTAACGTACGCTCGCTAGGCATTAATAAGGCGACGGACGATCTGAGACCAGTATAGGACCAGATCATAAAGAAGATGCTGGCGGCGAATGTGTATAACTGGGGAGGGGAGAAAGACGGGAGCGAAATTACGAGAATCAGCTGGCTTAAGATCCCGGCAGGGAAGAAGAGCGGCTCGCTTATCGTCGAGTTTGTGTCGCCAATCATAGCAAATGAGGCGATCGCAAGAGGAGTCCTATAGGATTGCGACCGGCTATAGGTAGTTCTCTACGACAGAACTGCTCGGGTGCGTTAATGCTTCAACTGTCAAAGGTATGGTCACATAGGAGCCACCTACGCCGAAAACATGCGATGTGTGTACTACTTAGAGGGACATCAGTCTCGGGATTGCCCTCTAAAAGACACACAAGGAGAGAACACACAGAAGTGCGCTAACTATAAGGGCGCATATGCTGCGTGGAGCTAAGACTACGAGATGAGAAAGGTAGAGGTAGAACGCGTCAACCAGTCAGCTAAGCAGAGAGGTAGATACCATCCTATGCCGGCATACTTTAGCGTGAAAATGCCACTAAGCCATCTCGAGGTCTCCTCCACCAGTTCGTGGGGAACATCATAGGAGTTAACAGACTCGAGTGGAGGTAGCTCCGGGGGTAGCGGCCCTATACTGTAGGACGACGAGGAAACAGGCCCTAGTAATAGAGGGCCGAATAATAGTACAACGAAGACAACAACGAGCGTAGCAATAAAGGAGCGCAAGACCAAAGGGGGGAAAACCGGATCGAAAGCGTCATCCATAGGGAGGAAACATGGCCGCCTAAGGAAAGCACCACAAGGATCCCAGGAAGCCATGAATACTCTAGAGGACATAGACATGCAGGAGGACGAATCGGCTGAGGCAGTAGGCACACCGCAAATAAGCAGACAGGCTTTCTAATTCGGATAAGGGGCAGTCCACCTGTTCATAGACCCAAGAGTGGTACCATCGACGCCACCAGGAGTGATCCAATTCGAACCCGAAATGGCTCACGAAACGCGAACCATAAAAGAAATGAGAGAAGAAGCAATCAGAGCAAAAATGGTAAAGGCCCGTGAGGCACTGGCAAAGAAGAGAGCTTCATTAAAGGCGAGTCAAGGAACCACGTCCTCTATATCAATAAGCAGAGAGAGAGTAAAAAAGACGAGGAGCCTTAAAAGAATGAATCAGACACACGAGCCAGATCTAAGCTTGGTTGACAAGGTGAATATGGCTAAGCTAGAAGAAGTACTTTAAAGAGATAAAGATTTAGAAGAACATACCAGCTCGCCATCACCAGAGCGAGTAAACGACGACGAATACCAGCCTACACCACGTAAACAAAAACAACCTTAAAGCAACCAGCGGTCAATTCCCTGGCTGTCGTCAGAAAAGCGCAAGAAGATTTATAGCAGGAAAACTCACCGGCCTTACCAGCCCTCTCAACAATGATTAACGGAACGTATCAGCTAACTTAAGGAACCTAACTCAACATCTTTTAATATAATATAAACTGGTTAAAGGATATAGTGATGGCGTAGTTCATATGCGATCTAGAAGTGGTGTCAGCAGAGATTATAGCTATCCAAGAACCTTAGAGAAACAGCTTTAAAGACGACACCCACCACCTAGTAAAACAAATACACGACCTCTACTACCTATTCGAAGCGGAGACTGGTGCAAGGGCACGAGTGTGTGAAGGGCTAAAGCTAATCTTGAATTCAGAACTAGCTAGGCACATGCTATTTACAAAATCCTTGAAGAACGTGAACAATTCGGGGTGGAATCGTGAGGTATGCGGTTGGTGGGTCACGTGGTACAACCACGTGATAGTTCACCAGGATTCAACCTGTTACAATACCCCCCTCCTATTCTCCTGTTTTCCGGGGTCCATTCGAAGTCGTAATTGGTCCGTATCGTAGTTCAAAGGTGTCGAGAGCTGTGCAGTTTTCCATTGCGTCGATAGGTTCCTATGTCAGTTCTGCGTATCCTCGCCATTTCACTAATGCTTCCCTCCGCGATCCACGTCCAATTTTTCGTGTCCTTGCTTGTAGGATCTCTTCAATTTCGTATTCCAGATCTCCTTCGACTAACAGCGGAGGCGGTTGCGAATCGTCCACGATTTGTGACGGTAACGGGTCTGTTGCCGCGGGTCTTATTAACTCAACATGGAAGACAGGATGTATGCCGCTTGGCACATCCAGCTTCACTGTATGAGAGGATGGCACTTCTAGAACTGTGTATTTGGCGTGAAGCCAGTCTAGTTTCTTTAAAGGCCGTATCGTGCGTACATTCCGTAGGTTTAGCCATACTTTATCGTTGATATTATAGACTGGAGCGGCTCATCTTGAACGATTCGCTTGTTCCTGTTGGCGTTCTTGGGCGATAGCCATCGCTGTATTTGCCCAATCGGTGGCGTCTCGTAGCCGGTTCGTGAACGTTTCCGCTGCGATCTCTGGTCCTCTCTCTGCTTAGACTTCTATCACTTCGACTGGATCGACATAGTATCCGTGTATGAAGAAGAATGGAGATAGTCCAGTAGAGGTTGCGTCTCGGTTATTGATCGCCATGGCTACGATAGGTAGTAAACTTGCCCAGTCGTCCTATGCGTATGTAGTAAAGGCGCGTAGAATTCGTTCGACTTCTTGATTTGCGCGTTCCGTAGCTCCATCAGTTTAGGGGTGGAATGCGGTAGATAATCGGCGTCGAATCTTTAGCTTTTCGCACACGATTCGCCAGAACCCCCCTACGAACTGTGGGCCGCGGTCACTAGTGATCGCTATCGGTAAACCATGATGTATATAAATATGCTTCATAAAGACATCTGCGACGCTTTCCGCAGTAATACTATGCATATCTATTAGGATCACTCCTTTAGATAGCCGATCAGTAATTACTAGACAATTCGTCGCTCTTTCTTTCCCAGTGGGTGGAAGTTCTGTGATGAAATCCATGGATAGTTCGGCCCAGATTCGTTATGGAATCGGTAACGGTTTAAGTAGGCCTTGCTTCGAATCTCTCCAAATCGTGTTTCGTCCGCAAATGGTGCAATTCCTTAAGAATCTCCGTACATCGTTCGTCATTCCTGGCCAAAAGAATCTACGGGCCAGTATCGTATAGGTTGCGTCCCGTCCTGGATGTCTAGTCGTGTAGGAATCGTGGACCTTCTGGATCAAGGTTGTGCGTAGTAGTTCGTTGTCTGGAATCCATGTCCTTTTCCTAAAGCGTAGAAGATTTCGTTCATCTAAGTCACACTCGGATAGGCTTATTTTTAGGTTCGATTCGGCAGGGATTCGTCGGTCTCCCTTTTCAAGTGCGAGTGCGAACTGCTGGTATATTTGATCTTCCTTCCGCGCGTTATTCCATGCTTCCTGCGTTTCTGCTTCTTCAAACATCGCCACTGGTATATCAAAGTCTAAAGGTGGACTTGGTTCAGTGCTATTGTTACGGATCGTTACTGATTCGAAGAGTTTCCGGAAACGATTCGTGAGCCTCTCATCAGAGATTCCTTTAGGTTCGTCTTGTCCTCGCCGGGATAGAGCATCTGGTTGGATCGCCTGTTTCCCGGGTCGATATCGTAGCTCAAAGTCGAATTCGGCCAGGATGTCTGCCCATCTCATTTGTTGTTCGCTTAGATCCTGCGCCTTATGAAAATATCGTAGATTTTTGTGGTCCGTTAAGACCACAAATCGCGGGACCATCTTCAGCTCTGGCTTCCATTCCCGTAGCGCATGGATGATAGCGAGTAATTCCTTGTCGTGTATCATATAATTGGTCTCTATAGGTGAGAACTTACGCGAGAGATAGGCGCATGGTCTTAGCGTCCCATCTTCTTGTCTTTGGGATAAGACTGCTCCTATCGCCCATCCAGATGCGTCTGTTTCCACTATTGTTTCGGTGTCTTCTCGGAAATAAGCCAATATTGGTGCAGAGATAAAGAGGTCCTTTAGGGTCTCGAATGATTCTTGTTTCTCCTTGTCCCATTTGAATATCGTATCTTTCTTTATCAACTGCACCAATGGTGCAGAGACGTCTACGAATCGTGGTATAAACGTCCGGTAGAAGTTAGCGAATCCAACAAAACCACGTACTTCTCGGACATTAGTAGGTGCTTCCCATAGCTTAATGGCTTCAACTTTCTTTGGGTCTACATATAGACCTTCTCCAGCTCGTATGATGAACCCTAGGTATTTCACAGAGCTCTGTTCAAATTCAGATTTCTCGATATCGCATTGAAGTCCAGCATCTCTTAGCTTTTAGAGCACCTCGCGTACTTTTCGTCTATGATCCGTGATCGATCCGTCGGAGTAAATAATGATATCGTCCACATATGCTGACACAAACTCGTCGAGAAATTCGCGTAGAACTTCATTGATATACCGTTGGAAGGTTGCGGGAGCGCCAGTCAGGCCAAAAGGTGTAACTAGCCACTCATAGAGCCCGTATCGTGTTCGAAACGCTGTCTTCCATTCTTCGCCTTCCTATATTCTGATCTTATAGAAAGCCGCTATGATATCGAGTTTAGTAAACCAGCGAGCCTTCGACATGTTTCGTAGTGTTTCTTGAATCAGAGGTAGGGGGTAACGGTCCTTGATGGTTATGGAGTTTAACCCTCTATAATCGACACAGAATCGGATGCCTCCACCAGGTTTTCGTACTAATAACACCAGTGAAGCTGCTGGCGATTTGCTGACTCGTATGAATCCTTTTCCTAGTAGATCGGTAAGAGTTTTTCGTAGAACTAATAGCTCTTCTCTATTTATTCCATATAATGGCCCATAAGGTGGTGTCGATTCGTTACCATTTCTATCGCGTGTCAAGGGTATCTTATGATCGATCCCTGGGCGATGGCTCGGAAGCTTGTCTACTTTCTCCTGGCTAAAAACATCTAACCAAGGGAGATATTATAGAGGAAGTTTAGCTCTCGGATCGGTGAATTTCTTAGGTTGCAGCGCCTTGTCGATATCGTCCATAGTCACTTTGGCTATTCGGAGGTGGTCCGGCGACGAAACGCTATCGAATAGTTCTTTGATTTCTCCCGCAGATGATTGCTGTACTTTCAATCTCTTTACTTTTGTTAGACCGATTGATGGGTCGATATGGTTCCAACAACGAATGCGCTCTCCATTTCTCGAATGGATATCTAAATACCCTTGTTTCGTAGCGTAAACTCCGTCGACATCTTTTAACCAAGGCGTCCCAAGTATCATTTCGTCTAACTATCTTGGAATGATGTAGGCAAAGACTTTCTGCTGTTGTAGTCCATTAACATCAAGATCGAAGTATGTGGCCTAAGTGATCCGTCCTTGATTCTTGATGACTCCGTTCAGGATTCGCGGTGGAATCGGGATACGCGGAAGGTTAAGAGATTACGCTAGGTGTCCGCTGATAGATGCATAGCTATCGCTTCCGTTGTCTACTAAAGTCTTCGCGAATTGAATTCCATTAACTCTAGCATCGACATAGAATGACGCCTCTTTCTTTAGCAGCTTCTCAACCCCCTTCTGCTCCTGCTCGCGGTTTAGTGCAGGAGCTAATCTTTTCCCCGAATCATTCTCCGCTTCCTCTTCTTCAATCGCTGGCGAATACTCCCTTCTTCGGGGGTGGCTCGATCTTGGTTCTTCGACTGCTACATTCCGTACCACCACTTGGTTCGGATTCCGTGCGGGCAGTAAAGGGCATACGCTTTACCAACAGTTGTCTCGACCACATCGTAGACATCTCTTTTCTGTACGGCGACGTTAGAGTTCTTCTTTCTCGACCCATTTTGCACGTTTTCCCATAAGATGTTGATCCTCTTTACGAACCTGTCCCTTTTCGTTCACGAATCGGGACGAATTCGTCTATGTGGTGTTCGTGT